TCGTCACCGACGCAAGCGACATCACTGTAGGAGCTGTACCGTTGCAGGACTTCAGGAACGGCCTCCGGCCAATCGCTTACGAGTCCCTCAAACTTCACCCGCCCGAACGCAACTACCCGATACACGACCGCGAGATGCTGGCGATCGGGCATACGTTCAAGGTGTGGCGGTGCTACATGACAGGAGCCGACATGACGGTACAGACAGACCATCGTGCACTACAGTACCTACGCGTCCAACCAAATCTCAATCTGCAAAAGATCCGCTAGTTGGACTATCTAGAGTCCAACTTTCACTACACCGTCACGTACAAAAGGGAGCGTCGAACATTGCTGGCGCGCTCACCCGCCCCACTGCACAACTTCACCTCATCCTACTCGCCCAAACCAATCCTCTTTTAACATACCTATTCACCCATGGATATTGCACCGACCCACTTTTCACAACCGGAAATTCACAGCAAATGGCAGAAGCAAAGGGAGTCTATTACGTAAAGAGAGACACCAACCGCATCTGGGTACCCGCGTACTCACTACTGAGGGAACTGCTACTCCAGGAAGCACACCATGTGGTTACCTTAGGTCACTTCGGGGTAGAAAGAACACGACAGCAACTACAGCGGTATTACTACTGGCCGGAACTGTTGACCGACGTACAGCACCATGTGGGGTCGTCTCCTACATGTCAGGTGATCAAGAGCTCACGAAAAAAGAAAGGCGGGTCAATTGCATCCGATTCCACCGGCCGAGCGTGCCTCGCAGCAGGTTACCATGGATTTTGTCACGGGGTCGCCTTCGAACCCTGGGGGTAACGACGCGGTTATGGTCGTCGTCGACAGACTGACGAAAATGGCTCACTTTGCTGCGTGCAGGAAATCGATCTCAACCGAAGAAAACGCTCGCTTGTTCATCGCAACCGTCGTTCGACTGCACGGGATACCAGCCACGAGAATCAGCGACCGCGACACGAAGTTTACAAGCACTTCTAGAAGAACTTTTGGGAGTAGTTCGGGACCATGCTACAGTTCAGTTCGTCGTACCACCCCGAGACCGACGGTCAAAAGGAGCGAACGAACCAGACCATGGAGTAGTTGATTCGTGCCATGTGCGACGACCCGACAACATGGGAGGAGTAGCTGCCGCTGATCGAGATCGCCTACAACAATGCCATGTCAGCGACGACGCAGCAGTCTGCGTTTTACCTGAACTACGGGCAAAATCCAACAGTGCCCATGACGCGGAGTCCGGACAACCCCACGTCATGCGCTCAACGGTTCGCCGAGATCCTGCAAGCTGCCCAAACGCGAGCAGCAGAAGCGATTAAAAATGCAAATTTCATCGCTGAGAGAAACGCTGAACGCCATCGCCGCCCAATCACATACCAGTCAGGAGATTACGTATTGCTCGACACACATAACTTAAGACTGCACGTCGTACCGAAACTTTGACCGCGCTACTGTGGACCGTTCCAAATCAGCCACATGATTACCCCAGTCACCACCCATGATTTCCAAACCCCAGACTGGTACATAAGCCCATCGTTCCACGTCAGCCTGCTTCGCCCATACATCGCGACCACAAGCCAACTACCGCGACATCGCCTACCGTCAATAACTCGCCCTGCATCGGATCCGATCGTCGAGCCCGAGAAGATTTTGATCCATCGGATTCGTCACCCCACTGGCATAAAGAGGATCAAGTTCCTCGTTCGCTGGAAGGACCGCACGCCAACTGAAGATAGATGGGTGCCCCTGGCCAACATCTAAAACCACCCTGCCCTGCAAGTGTACCCGAGGAGCCGGGGTTTCCGCGAGATACACGCATTCGCGTAGCGTAGGGGGCTTCTTGGAGGGGGGGGGGGGGGGGGGAGGGGGGTAGTGTAATGTGTTTTTCAGCATTCCTTATCGCGTACAGCAGCAGCCGTTGTTTGCCCTTTACTGCTAACGGGGCTTCACCAACTTCGTGCACATTGTTTTACAAAACCATGCACTGCTGGCTTGGCCGAGTCGGTCTACACTTCGGGACTAGCCCGAACCTCGATGCCAGCCTAGCACTAGCTAGCTCACACGCACCACGTTACTGTTTGCATGTGTTGCGAATAAATATTTGCTAATGCCTTCGCTCATACTTAGTACTCGTTTGACACCTAGTGCAATCCTCTCTATATACCATAGTTCCATTGCACCCGTAACATCCATATATGAATTCCCATGATATAATCAGATGTCACTCGAGCGGACTCGATACTAGACGTAAATGTCGGTGAGGTAGAGCCGCGACAAAATTTTGCTGGTTGGGACGAAGCGAAAGCGCACGATTTTGAGTGGGGGTGGGATTTCGTAAAATATCGACTGCGGGAATCAAGTACGTTTGGGGTGCGCGGTTCCGTCAATGAATCTGACAAACTAGCGAAATGCTCCTTGCAGGAGGTCAAACGTGGTCACTCTTTGAGCGAATTTCGCAGCCGTCGTCGCGCGTAGCTTTGACGAGCGCTACGGTTTGCGCACCGCACCCATCACTACCACGCATTTCACACCAGGTGCATTCAAAGTGACAAGAACGGTAACCAGGACTTGGGCAGCCCGTGCCGCCCTTAAGTATTTTCACCATAACAGATACTACCCATGGGGCTTTTAGTGGAGTTGAACTAGCAAGTTGTAAGCGGAATTGTTAGGGTGAAATTGCGCAAGTCGTAATCGGAATTCGTCAATGTGAGTAGGAATCTGACCGAAATGGGACAGAAGCCGAACGGAACAGAAGCATTGCAATGGCACCTGTGTCTTGCCTTGCCACATCCACAACCGAATCGCACATGACGAGGCGCGACGGTCCAATGTGAAACGCACACCAGAATCTTCGACCGTGCGGGATGGGAATTTTGATGGGGAAGCATTGCGCAACTCCAGACCAGACGAGAAAGCTTCCACGAAATTTTGTTCCTCGAACAGAACTCCTGCATCCCTTTCCACTCAACCCAAGCTCTATGCTTGTCACCATCACCACGGCGAGAGACAGTTTGGCGCAAAGCCACTCGATGATCGCAATTGACGGCTGGAGCACCTTTCAGTCAACCCAACAGCGCATTTTCAGCCCGCGCGCCACAAACCCGCCCCTTTTGCGCCGTCGTCGTTCCCCCCTCACACCCTCCCGTAAACACCCACGTGGACATCAGGGCTGTAGAAGCAAGGGCATTTTTCCTCAATGCCCTGAACATTCCGGCCTACGTTTCGAGCAGCTCGACCATTTAAAGTGTTATATCCGCATGGCACCCGTGACCGCTACAGGCCTCGTTTGGGCCTTCCCCTGAATCAAAGCTTTGGTTTCTATTTCGAAGGACACACCCCCCCCCAAATTCCCCCCGCCTCCCCCCCATACCCCCACTCCCCGATGTTTTTTCCTATGTTGCTTTTGCCTACAATGTAGAGGCTGTAGATGTGTGGATGAGTAGTTCGTATGTATCTTTTTCCTGCTAAGTAAAAGAAAACATCCTCCTGTGTTACATCGAGGCTCAAGCACACTTTTCTAAGAAGCCCTGATTTCAAGTTTTTAATTCGGACTGCGCCCGTGAAAATCAGGGCCAGAATTCGAGCAGCTCAGGACTCAAAGTTTTGGTCCCAGGGACTTCGACAGGCCTGGTGGACATCCGATCGATTGCGCGACAAGGGGCGGGACCAGCGCTTGTCCGTGCGGCCACTGGGAAAAGAAACCAGGGCGAGGCGGGGCGACCTGCGGAAGCCATCAATCCCTTCGTGCGACAGGAATCCAAGTGAACGAAACTCTAGTTCCAGGAGAATACCAGACCAGACCCGAGTCTAGCTGATCTAGCCGCAGCATGCAATGTGCTACTAGCGCCTGAACTTTGATGGCGGGCAAACGTGGGGACGCCCTATGAGTCAGGTCAGGTAGGTTCGAGCCTTGGTTCCTTCGATCCAACAAGCCGTCCCGGATCCAAGCTCCCTCCCCCACTCCCAGTCTCTACAAGCCAAACCCACTTGTCGTCCGTCCCGATTCCCGACCCGACAAGAGCAGTGCAAGCACTCGACTCTCTGGAGGTACAGTAGTATTATAGTAGAAACGCCTCCCCCTTACCCGATGAGGGACGTGCTGGAGTGAAAGGACTTTCATTCCCCTCTTTGGTCTGTTGCGCCTCAACAACCAGAGCCCCCTGTCCCACAGCATTCGTTTGTTTTCACGGAACGTGCTTAGAGTAACACCCATTCGGACTTTGAGGTCTCGCCCCGACTTTCCAGGTGAAAGCTCTCCCCACAGCTTTCATTCTCGACAGATAGGCCGGACTTGTCTGTCGAGGCATGGTCGTGCTGCTCCCCTGGCTCTCTGTAGTTCTCCTCGTGCCTCTCATCTCCTCGTGCCTCTCATCGCCTGGGCCCTCACTCCTGGCTCGCTGTTCACCTCGCGCCTCCCTTACTACCGCTCTCTCCTGGCCTTCTCGCTGCGGCTGCTCTCTTGCAGTGGTTCCATCTTGGGGGCATTATACACACGATTCTTACACAACGACCGTCATTACAATCGTCATCCACCGCAGTAAAAGCGTCTTCCTCTGCCTCAGCCGCACCCAGTCGCAGCGAAACCTCTCGCACCCAGTGCGTAGGTCCCTCGCCGCACGTGCGCAACCACTTACATGCTCTTCGTAGGAGTACGTCGCGCATTGCGTCGAAAGATGCAGCGAGTTTCTCCTAGTTGTTGTTAGCCCTAGACGGCTTCAGAGTAGGAACTGTCCCTGGACTCTCTGGTTCCCAAGGTGAGGGCGACGGCCCCATATCCGTTTTGAGAAGCCGCAGTACACGACACAGACAAACTTTCTCTATACTTTCAGATTGTAGCCAAGCCGCACCGCGAACGAAACATCGGCGGACAAAAGCGCAACACTTTCCGCCACAACTTCCCACGCGCCATGGGTCCCCCTCGGCGCACATGTTCTCCGCCATCGCATCCGTCCCCCACCTCTCGCCTCTGCCCCCCCCTCCGCCTGCTCTCCCCCAGCACTCTCCTGCTATGCGTGCTCGCGACGTTCGTCATCTCCGCATCACGCGCCGCAGCGTACGGCGTACCGGGAGGCGCAATGGGCACGTTTTACGGCGGACCCGACGCGTCGGGTACTTGGGGTGCGTTTTACGGTTGCAAGAGGTTGAGAGGGGTTGGATCGAGGGAATGCCGTTGAGGGCCAGTATGTAGTAAAGCACAGCTTGACTTTACCAGAGTCAACACTTCGCCAGGTTGCCTGTCCCTTTTCGCCTTGCAAGTGGTAACTGCGGACGATGAGGTCGTATGTCTAACGCTTTATTGAACGGCATTCGCTGCAGGTGGTAACTGCGGTTACGGGAATCTTGTGCAAGCCGGTTACGGCATCCTCGTCGCGGCGGGAAGCCCTCCTCTTTACAAAGGCGGGAAGGGATGCGGCGCTTGCTACCGGTACGTATTCGCTCCTTTTTGTCACAACATCCAGTCCATCACGACTTCATGCATCGCCAGCTTTCATGTGTGACTCGTTACTTTTATTCTGTGACTCGTTAATTCTATCATTTGTGGCGTTATTACGGTCCCCAACTTCGAGCTGAAGAGCCTTCCGTTCTTCCTTGTCTCCCCCCTATTCTTCCCGTCCCAGGCTTCCTCCCTCCTGTGCTCTCTCCTCTCCGTCGCTTCCCCGCGTTATTCCATTTCTCACCTTCCCCCGAATCGTTTCTTTCCTCGAACGGGCCGTTCTATCTTATCACAGGATATCGTGTACCAACAGCACGTATTGCAACAAGGGCGTATCTATCGTGGTCGCTATAACGGATCTTTGCCCCGGCGGGGGTTGGTGCTGCCCCACCTGTCGCCACTTCGACCTAAGCGAACCTGCTTTTATCGCGCTTGCGAACCGCGCCGCTGGCTTCGTTCCCCTCGCCTACGAACAGTAAGTCTCCGATATGAGGGAACTCGCTATTGAAACTTCCACGTTCCATTCGTTACTCTCATTTAGTCTCAAGCACACCGTTGAAGTTCGTTTTGTCGATTCCCCTTCATGTTATTTGGCCCCACCCCCTTAATGTCGGGTAGTTCCCCTCAATCAACACTCGTTGCTCAATTCCTTGTTTTCCAATCACAGAGTGCCATGTGTCTTCTCCAACAACATTCGCCTCACCGCTACCGGGTCGCCTTTTTGGCTGAACCTTCTGATTCGCCAAGTCGCGGGTCCCGGCGACCTTTCGCTAGTCGAAGTGATGGACTCGAATTCGCCTACGTGGAGACCGATGCGACACGACTGGGGTGCGAATTGGGTGTACGAATCATTCCTTCAGGCACCGCTCAAGTTTCGCCTTACTTCGCTTACGGACAACCAGCAGGTGGTTACTAGCCCCAACTGCCTCCCGGCTGGTTGGGTTCCGGCGAAGGATTACGACTGCAACATTCAGTTTTCGTTTGCTGGCGACGGGATGGATGGTAACCACGGAGGGCCCCACGGCGACGGCAGTGGATTATCAGATGCCGCTCCCAGGAATCGAACCAAGGTCACTCGGCCCAACAAGAATAATAAGTCTCCATCTCCGAATTCAGGTGCCCCCAAGAGTCCGGGCAGCCCCAAAACTCCTGGCACTTCCAAGTCCCCCAGCAAGCCTCCTGTGACCAATTCACCTGGCAAATCGCCCGCCAAACCTCCTTCCAAATCGCCACCGACTAAGAACGGCAACAACGGAAGCAAGGACAACAAGAGCGGGAACAACAACGGGAACAACAACGGCAACAAGAATGGCGGAAGCAAGAACACCAATAACGGCAACAACGGAAGCAACACGAGCAACGGCGGTGGCAGCAGCAGCGGTGGGGACAAGGAAGGAGGGCATCCGTCTTACGTTGGGCACCATCCCGAGGGAGTGGGCCACAGACCTGCAGGTGTGGGTCACCACAAGCCTCGGAAAGGAGGCTCGGCATCAGCTTCGGCGGCGGTTGCAGACGTTGGGCACCATCCCGAGGGAGTGGGCCACAGACCTGCAGGTGTGGGTCACCACAAGCCTCGGAAAGGAGGCTCGGCATCATCAGCTTCGGCGGTGGTGGCACCAGCGGCACCGAGTGCATCTGTGGGTGTTGGAGTGAAATCAGTGGCCGTGGCGACAACTGCAGCAGCACCTGCAGTACCACAACACTAGGTTGGGGAGTGGCAGAGGCAGTGGCAGTGGCAGTGGCTATGGCACTGGCAGTGGCAGTGACAGAGGCATTGGCCCTAATAGTGGCAAAAACTGCAGCAGCACCTGCGCTACCACAGCACTAGCCGTGGCAGTGGCAGCAACAGCGGCTGTGGAGGTGGCCCTGGCAGTGGCGACAATTGCAGCACCACCTGCACTACCACAACGATAGGGTGGGCAGTGGCAGTGGCAGTGGCATTGGCACTAGCAGCACAGCAACAGATCCCGGGGTATGTACCACTGACAAATATATGAGGTAGGTAAGGTATACCACGAGTGTAGCCACCAGGTGGAGGTAGACGAATGGATGAGGTGAGGACATGAAGGGATTTACGTGGGTTGGTGGGGTGCTTACTTGGCTCACTACGGTGATACATGGTTCATTAAGGCACAATACTGTCTCTAACAGGTGGGGGGTGGAATGCATTTTGCGTAGCATGCTTGTGTTGTAGTCCGGAGTAGGTTATTAGGTTTATGGACAGTAGCCTTTTTCATTAGTCCAAGTAGGGGCATCTTCCGGGCTTGATTTATTTATGCCACTAAACTAGATTCGGGCTGCCTCTTTGCGTCTGGAGCAGCTTTTGCTGCTGGATGGTCGTTTGGTAATTTCTTCGTGCGCATGCTTCGTGCGATGAAGGCAGCTGTAGCTAACTTGTAAGGGCTGTAGTTCTACTACCATACCGTATACTTGGTTTCAGTTTCGGCTTCCTTGCCTTCCATGTTCATTGTAAGGAAAATCACTTTTCCTTACTTCGCGTCCCTGCCCAGCGCGTACACCACTGTTCTCGCCAACAGCACCCCACAACATTCCGTTACCACTCGCCTCGACACCATTCCCGCCACTGTTCACGATGCGACCCAACCTCACGGTTCGGTTGGAAACCTGCGCTCCAGACCTCCGCCTCGACAGTTCCCAAACCTCGGCACCAGGCCCGTCGCGCATCCCAATTTCCCACGTTACCGTTACCACCGTAGCTTCGCTATATATTCTTCGCTCAACCTTTCGCTCGATTGTATTCTTGCCTCGATAGTGCAATCCTCGCTCGCTCACTCAATTGCACTCGTAACACTTGGTTATCAGAGCCTACGATCTTCTCTCGGACCGCACCCACACCTTCGCTTCCCCACTATCAATTTTTTTGGGGGGGGTATACGTCTCTCAGCGATCAAGCACCGCCGCTCGTAGTGCTCTCTCGTAAGCACGCACGGCCACGACAGAGGCTCTCGCTGAGCTTGCCCGACACCCCCGCCATGACAGAACTCAATGTCGCGACACTGACACAGGAGCAACTAGATCGGCTCATGCGCCAACTCGAAGAATCGGCGCTTGAAATCGCCACACTCACGGCGGAACGCGACTCCGCTCGCCAACAATCGACAGTGAACGCACCAGCACCAACACATGCACCTGCGCATTCGGAGGAGCCGATTGTCATCTCCTCCGGCACACCGACACAGAATGATAGCGTGGGATAGCGCTCAGGCGCAGCCAGTGAGGGCGCCGCTCACTCGATGCCTGGCATGAAGAGAAACAGGACCGCACCAAGCCCACGGGAGCCCCACGAGTCCCGTCGGCACGTGGAATTTGCGACGACAAATGGCGAGTATGCCGTCACGGCACCAATGCCACTCAAGCCACAGCGTCCGCCCTGTTTCGACCCGAGCCAACGTGGGGGTCTGACGGTTCAGTCGTGGGTCTTCACGATGAACGTGTTTTTCGACGCCAATTACGTCGAGTCGGGCGCAGCGAAGATTCGCTACGCTGTTTCGCTGCTGAGGGGCCCTGCCATGGACTGGTGGCGAGTCATCGTGACGTCGCCACGCGCCTACGAGCCACCGTCGCAAGAAGACGGGCCCACGGGCCCAGCCGTCACCTGGAGTTCATTCTGCGAGACAGCCCAGTACAGCACGTGGGATGCGTGGTGTGTAGGGCTTCGGGCGCGTTTCGAGCCGATCGCGGCTTCGATTTCGGCGCGTCAGAAGCTGCGCAGTTGGCGGCAGCTCGGGTCGGTTCAAGATTACACTAGCGGCTTTCTCGCACTATGCGAACAAGTCGGCTATATGCACGAAGCGGAGCGGGTGGACCGTTATGTCGGAGGGCTAAAGCCGGACATATCGCATGAAATTATGCTACGCGGGCTCTCGAATTTCAACGAGATCCTCACGCTCGCCGAGAAAATCGACATCCTACGACGACCGAGACCGGGGTCCTACTACGGACAACGTCCTCGGGGACCGATCGAGCACGCCACCGTACACGCCATTGCGACGAATGCAGCTGCCGCACCGTCTAAGGGGTGCTGCTTTGCTTGCAATAGGCCGGGCCATCGCAAGAGTGAATGCCCAGAGGAGCCGAGGGGCTGCGGAACAGAGCAGGGGCGAGAGTCTCAGAGGCCGGGAAATGCCAGCAGTCAGTAGAAGTTGGGCCAACTACTGACGAGACTGCCTGCTCGCCCAACTTCACCGACCCTCACCGAGTCACAGTACCGATTCACGCTATCGATCGGGCTCGGACGAATAAGGAGGGTACAGCGACGGATTGCCCAGTACTGATTCACGGAAAAATACAGGGAGCAGCAGTGAAGATTTTTATAGACGGAGGTGCAAGTCACAGCTTAGTTAATACTTCGACTGCAAGGAAGCTGCAATTGACACTTAGTCGGTGCTTACCAGAGATCGATGCACGCTTAGTTGACGGAACGCTGCTGGCCATACGGGAAAAGGTGGAAAGAGTAAAAGTCCGCTGTGGGGGGAATTTCGGGTTTACACAGGAAATGCTCGCGACGACATTGGATGGGCACGACATTTTACTAGGCCGTGATTGGCTGCGACGATACAACCCGCGAATCGACTGGACGACGCGCAGCTGCACTGTGCGAAGTAGCGGTAACTGGGTGGAACTACCTCACTGGCAGTCGCCTGAGACTTCAACGGTCCACGTCAACGCCATCACGATGAAACGGGTTGTCGCCGCTGGAGCTGACATGTACGCGGTGGATATCGCGATAGTGGAAGAAGCGGATAAACCGAGTGATTTTCAGAAACTGCTGGCGGCAGTACCATCGGACTACAGGAGCTGTTGAAACGATTCCCGGGGATCTTCCCTGATGACTTACCAGAGGGACTGCCACCTCAGCGGGCACACGATCACCGAATAGAATTAGAGCCCGGGGCACAGCCAACCGTACAGCGACAGTTCAGACTGACACAGCACGAGCTCGACGAGCTGATAGATCAACTACGAACAGCGCGGGTCTTTTCGAAAATTGACTTACGGGGAGGTTACCACCAGATTAGGGTCGAACCGTCGGACTGTGCCAAGACAGCTTTTAGGACTAGGTACGGGTCGTTTGAATGCACGGCGATGCCTTTCGGGCTGACCAACGCGCCGGGAACTTTCCAGATGACAATGAACGAGGCATTTAGGCCACTCTTAGATAAATGTGTGATCATCTACCTCGACGACATCCTAGTCTACAGTCGGGATAAGCAGCAGCACTTAGCCGATTTAGAAGAAGTATTTACAGTTTCAGACAAACACAGACTACTGACCAAGGGTTCCAAGTGCGTTTTTTTTCAAGATAGGCTAGAGTTTTTGGGGCACGTTATTTCGGAGGCTGGAGTAGAAATCGACAAAAAAAAAATGGACACGGTAAAAGCGTGGCACCCCCCGACGAACATCACGGAACTGCAGAGTTTTTTAGGGTTCGTTAATTACGTGCGCCGGTTCGTC